TCACAGAAAGGTGGTTCTGACCACAGTCGCTCACTCTCGGTGTTGGGTGTGTGACACGACCCTTTGCTGTTTCACTAGGACGGGAGCATTCCTAGGGTGGTAACGCCAATACGACTTACTGTTTGCCTCCGTGCTAACGCTGCCACTTTGTTAGATTTGGTTCTCCATTAAACGTATGCTTTCAGCTCATCTCCTGAAAAATGATTCAAAAAATGGTTAAAAAAAGATTGAAAGCAAGAAAAGGCTTTCTAGTTTCAATGCACGCATACAAAAGAGGCAACGATTTCACACTATTGATTTTCTTCCAGGGCGAGCAGCTGACCCGTTGCACATCATTCTGCACAGATCTAAACACAGCGTTCAGTGTCTCTGGGAACCACTGGAGTAGGAAACCCTGTGATCTAATGCAAATTCAAGCCAGTCAAGGGAAACGAAGCAACGGAATGATAATCCAGTTTCAGTGACCTTGCTCATGGACGATGACCTCATGAAGACAAAAGCAAAGAAAAAGGCACAAGGCTCAGATCTCATTGATAGTCCTTTCAGAGGGGCAGTACTCGGACGTTCCTGGCGATGACATGTAGAAGGACTGTGTTTTCCTTTTTAACCTGGCTCGCTTGTTGGCCAGAGACAGGCTGCGCCGGCTTGAATTGATGATTTCTGAAATAAACTTCTTGCAGTCCACGCACACCTCCATCGTGCTCCAGTCCTCCATCAATTCTTTGGGAAACTCTTCATGTGACTTATCCACAGATTTGGACCTTGAGGTCAACCTGAAAGCAAAAGAGCAGGACCTGTCACATCATTTAGCAGCGTGGCAGTGGGCCCCAAGGGGCACATTCGGGATGCATGACATCAGAATGGTCTTGATTCAAATCTTCTGTCCCAAAAATGACACCAGGAGACCAAACACCGGAGGGGACAGCTTCTGCCTGGTTCAGCAAGATTGCAGGGTCACTAATTGAGGGCTTTTGTATCATTTACCTTGGCAAAACCAACCTTACTAATTAACTGTGAGTAGGTGATGTGTTGGGTGAATTTGACACAGCATCATAGCGCTACTGATTTATGCAGAGGGTTTATACTGCAGAAGCCTTCAAAAAGGAGCATTGCTTTTATATTTAATTTCTCAGATTAGCTTTGGCAACCATCTGTGTGTAAGATATAAAACCAATAGATAACTTGATGACATCAGAGTGAAAAAACATAGTGAAAATTAGAATTAGAAAAATTAATGAGAAAAAAAACCAACATATGTTCAAGACATCATTGAATTCCCATTCAGTGAGTGATTCTAGCCTGTGAGATTTATCTCCAGAGAGTCTACCCACACCAGAAAAAAGACATGCTAAGGATACTTTTGCAGAGGTGCTACAGAAACACAGTTGTCCCGGATTCATATTATTTTTCACCTGCAATGTGAAAAAGGTTTAAGACACGCTGTTCGTATTGTGGTTTCTGTAAATCAAAGCAATGAGTGGAAGAGACACAGATTTTCAGGCTTCAGAAAAGTTACTACTATAATTAGAAACACTGACAACTACAAAACAGGCAGACAATGAAACACTTCAGAAGCATCTGCAACAGACACACGCAAGCTAGGGTCATCTCTCACCTGGACATGCTCCGCAGTGAATGGTGGTGACTGGTAGAGGGTTTCTCTGGCCTCATAAAGCTTTCTCCTCTTTGCAAGGTTGAAGGTCCCAGTGAGAAGATGGGGAGAGTAGAATATGGCTTTGATGGCAACCGCATCTGTTGAGAATAGCAGAAGGAACATGCAGTATCATTACAAAGATTACAGCTTTTTAGAAAGGATCTAACCATAAGTTTAATTACTTACTTTTTTGCAACACTGTGAGCACACAGGCCTGTGTAAGAAAGCAAGAGCGTGAATCACTTCACTGAGCAAAATTACATTTAAATCAAGAATAAGGGATAAATGTTTTCAGCAGTTGGAATCCTCCCTCATCCTCCCCTTAAACAAACATTTTTATTTTTAAAGCTTTTTCAGTGTAAAATCTTCAATCAGAACATGAAGCCGAAAGCAAGGAGAAATGCTAAACAAGAAATACAGCTAAGTTAAAAAATAGGAGAAAAAAAAAACAAAACAAGAAGAAAAGCTCTTGTTCCTCTAAAGAAACCTCCTTCACTAAGTGAGACAGTGTCAGTGATTCCATAGATCTCCAGACTTACTGTCTCACTGTTCAACTTAAAATTTTTCATTTTGCCTGCAAATGATTCCTTTTCCCTTCTCCCCCCAGCAATACTCCAAAAATAACCCAAAAGGTAAATTGCCTAGAAATGTTTTCCCCAACAACAGAGATTGTGGAACTGTTGACTGGGGAGTCTGAGTGAATTCCATCTCACTCCCCCATGAGCATGAAAGAACAAATGAGTGTTTCTCTCACTTCTAGCCAAGAGTTTCAGTCCAAAAAACCAATTCTGTCACTTAGGAAGGAACTGGTTTTGCATAATTTTTTTTTAACCTCAGCTGTTACAGAAATAAAACCCATCAACAGCACACAGCGGAAACATTTGAGGGTTTCTAACACATAAATCGGTATTTTTTCCCTCTGAAAAGGTACTCATTTATCAACAGATATTAAATATTTACCTCTTACAGAACTGACAAGTGTAAGACCAGGTAAAGAAAGAAAACCTTCTTGTTCGACAGCAAAAGCAGAGCTAAAAGAAGAACAGAGGAGTCCACAGTGTTAGGCACAGTAATGACTTCATCAATTGGTTGCTATCAGCGAGACCATAGTTGCAGCACTACATCCAGTTCTGGGGTCCATACTTCTAAGATGATACTGAAAAGAATGGTCCACAATTGTATCTCCACATATTTAGAAATACTACTTTCATTTTTTACCTAAATAAATACTTGCCAGTTAATTATTAACTTCTCTTTACTTCTCCCTCACTGATGTTTATATCATTGCTACACAAAAAAGCAACGGGAAAGTAAGAGTAAGGAAGGGTAACGGTTACATCTGAAGAACACAGGAAAAAATGGGCATGAACTCAGCCATGAATAGATTTAGGCTGGAAATGGTTCCTAACAATCTGGGTCAGGCTCTGGGACACAAAGTTCTCGCCTGTGATAACACTGGATGATTTTCTTCCAATCCTACCTTCCTGAAGCCTAGAAGAGGTGCAGGAAAGAGCTATTATAGCAATCTTACTTGAGGAAAACCTGCTTTATAGTGGGATAATAAATCCCATCTATTCAGTTTATTCAAAGGAGGTAGGGATCACAGCTTAAGAACATTTCTAGGAAGGAAAGGCATTTTTGAAATGAATTTGAAATGAAAAGTTTTGCAGTCAAACAACAGATGACATACTGGGACCCAGAGACTCAGGTGAGGCTAGATAAATTTGGTTACAAAAAGTGAACAATTTTAATAGTGAGGTAAATTAAGTAAAGCATCAACTTACTTTGAGATTTGATAAAAGCTCACTTACTAAGCTTTATATATCATATATATATGCCTATATGACAATAGGCAACAGCTGAATCTAATGAGTGACTTCAAGATTCTTGTTCCTCCACCTTAAATGTATTAAATCTTTAAATTGCACCTGCACACTAGACATAGGTAGGCCTGCAGGTAGAACACACTGTAAAGTCAAAATACACTTGCTGGAGGTGTTCAAGAAGCACAAGTCAAAAGTGGGGAGAAAAGGACGCTGATTCTACTGGTAAATACCAATTCCCAATCTGCAGCTTACAGAAAAAAAAGCGTTAGTTAATAGATTCTCTAATATTAAACCTCCTTCTGGGGTCACATGTTGGCTGGCTTCTCTGAAGGCCTTCATTCCCTCCCTTGATAGTAAGGATCCACATGAAGAACTTGTCGTAGCTTCGCACTGCTATCTGCAATTCTGTTTTCTGGAACAGGAATGCTAAGCAACCCTGCAGAAGGCATGGGGACCGAAATCACTTCAGTCAATCAAGTTTAAAACATACACAGACAGATACGCTCTGATAATTGCAAACACTCTGCATTTTTATCGACAATCTAAACAAATAAGGGATTTCCATGAAAAGTTCTGATGCTTCTGCACATAACTGAAGGAAGCTGACCCATGTGTTATACGTTCAGGGGGATGTTTAGTGGATCCCTCTTCTTCCTCTCCAAAACAAGGGTAAAAAACAAATGCGTCAATGGGAGGTTTGTGCGACTGGCCTCCCTCCATGAGCTTCAGTGCCTCCACAGACTCAGCCCTACCTTTCCTTTCTTGAGAGCAGTGTAGACATCTTTATATTGCTGGTACTTTTCCAGCTCCGCCTTCACCAGCACCTGACGGATGTGCATGACCTCCTCCACCGTCAGAGCCAGACATTCCACCGGGTAGCAGAACTCCTCCTGGAAGCCAAAAAACCCTTATTATTTCAAAGCCAAATGGCTTCTTTCAGACTTCAACCTAGACAACCAGCCACCTGGTTAGTAACTCCAGAAATACAGGGGTTTCCCTTGAAACTGGAATAGCACTGGCTCATTCATGGGCATCACATGAGTTCCAAACCGTTGGAGACTACGTGTGATCTAAATGGTCTGATGTTCAGCTTTCACAACAATGACAGTTTTCTTCATCTTTCCTTCTCAAACCACTTGACCCTTCTCTCCATTTGTCTTTTATTATGAAGATTTGTTTCAAACCAATCAACACTCAGGTTTATAATTTGAAAGGGAAAAGGTAATTTGGCAGATGACATTACTGTTAAGTATACTGTTTGAAGACACAGACTTTGTGATGCCCAGAGTGGCCAAGGAAGGTTGTTAGTGGTCCATTGTAGCAGAAATTTTTATTCAGTGGTACCACATCTTGGTGCTCACATGATCAGAATCCCACCAAGACTATAAAAAGTTAGGTCAGTTCAGGCAGAAAAGTTCTCCCTTCTGCCCCAGGAAAGTAACAACGGCAATTTAAGCTTCATAGAATAATCTTTAAATATGAAGCAGGAGAACTGGTTACTCAATGTTGCATTATTAATGGCAGAGACTCAAATAGAGACTAACAACACAACTTTCCACTTACAAAACTTTGCATCTGTTCTGTATTATGGCATTTAGGAGAATATTGAGTAGAGAACTCCTGAATTCGGTACCAGAGAATAAAAAGCACCAACGCAATTTGTAATCCAGCCCTGTAGTTGATTATACATTTCCAACAGAAAGACAGAAACCTCTGTGGGAACTCCCATCGCTTTATGCTTAGTGAACCTTTTCAGTCAGCCCAGAGGGGCTACTGTGTGGTAATGACAATGACATGTAATGCTCTCTGAATAAACGAAGGAAATTTCTCCTGCAAATACAAAGACGTGGCTGACAGTTTGGAAATCTCGTTTACAAATTGAAGTGATGAATCGGATTAGTAGTGAAATGATCCATTTCCATCTACTCAGAGTTCTGTTCTGTCTTTCCATTAGATTAAAAAGAAAATCTTTCTACGTTGCAGACCTGGCAAACATTAGCATTTAGGAACCACCACATTTTTAAAAACTGTTGTCTTACCTATCTAGAAAGGGAACACAAAGAAACTTCACTCTGTTTAAGGTACCCCACAAAAGACTAGAATTGAGTTAATTTTGTTAGATTTGCCAGCTAAACCTTTGGGGTACAGAATCACTACTTTTCTGGAAAGAACAAACTACGTCAAAAGCAACTGCGAGCTGCTCTGAGGTGTAAAACTGCACAGCCAAAACAAAATAACGTCTGTTCCTTATGAGCAACGTTACAGCTAACCGGCAGCAATCAGTGTTTCATTCTGGGTTTTTCCCATGGCAACTGCCTCGCTACGGAGAAGGCACGGCTGAAGGCTGGGGCGAGACGCGAGAGGAAGTGGGTGGGAAAGCGTGAGGCACACAATGCCAGCAAAAGCCCTCGATTCAGCATCGTGGGAGCCTGAGAGAAACTGTCCGAGGTGAATGAGGCTGGCTGAATGCTTGTAATCAATCAGAGCTTTAAGTCCTTTAGAAATACACTTCTTACTTGAAGCTCTTCCTTCCCCCTCATGAACGCCCATTCCTTTAATTTACAGAACTATGACGTCAGGGAACATTGCTCCTTTGAAGAAAGTCTGCAGATCTGCTATAGCTGTAGAGCAGGTACTAGGGGCATAGGGTGGGCCTGTTGTACCAATTGACAATGATTATCACTAAAGCAAATAGAAATAGCTAGCAGGCAACAGGGGAAACAGAAAATGTTCACATGTTTAAATGCTAATGTTTTAATTCCAGAGGTTACATAAGGACAACAAAATGTTAATGCAACATTAAATGGAAGATAAATATTATGCTGATTTCAGAAAAACGCTTGGGTTTTTTTTCCCCTTTTCAGAATACAAATAAGTACACAAGAAAATCTTTTGTTTCTACACTACCTCTGAGGCATTGAAATTAATTAAAATTATGCTAAGCACTGACTAAACTTCATTAAACAATGATGCTTTGGAGTTATTGTTCAAACTTCCAGCAATAATCTGCACTCAAGTTAGGCAGCTCCAAGGGAGAGAACTTCAGCTCTCTGCAACACTTGCGTACAACAGAACATACTACAGACAAAATGTGGTTTGAATGGTCTTGATTTTCTGGAAATGTACTCAACCCTCATTTTAATATTAAAGACAAGACAGTATTCTTATTTGTAAGGGAAAAAGAATCTTACTTTAAAATAGTATTTTGAACCTGCAGTTTCCAAGATCCTCATGAGAATTGTCTTAACACTGACCATGCAGTTTCACTATACACACTGTAATAGCTTGAGGTGGATAAGTGTAACTTTTTTTTACTCCAGAAATAAAGTGCTTTGTGGGTCATTCTCAGCATATATGCACCTAATAGCTCCTTATAACGAACACATTTTTTCACTAACATATTCCTTGTGAGGCTTCTCATTGAAGGACGTCACTAGGCATTCAAATGAGCTGCCCCAGTAAACTGCAATATGAACAAGTGCCGGTTTGGCCTCTAAATTCTGCAATTCACATTTGTTGATGCACTCTAAACTCTCGTTGCTTTCGCAGACAAAAAGTTTCTAAGAAGTCAGCTGGATATCTCAACTATAAACTCTCCTGCAATAGCTTCCACACTTTCATTTATTGTTTGAGACAAGAAAGAGAAGGTAAAAATTAAACTATTCATGTTCAGTTCTACATATGGGTAAATGAATAAGTTTTTCTTTTCAGTGGATTTGCTGTCCCTGGTCCACAGCTATGAGTTATTCTGCAAGTTCTGATACGTAAGTGTGCTGAGCACCAAAACCACATGTGGGTTTTCAAGTAAAAGACTGCAAATGCCCTTCCATTCTACATAGTCTATCTTGTTAGAAACATAAAACCTTGTTCTTTCCGATATAGTCCAAGGATTACAATAGTTTTGCTGGTTTTTTGCTGCAGGATCTTCATATGCTGTAACATTTACGGTTTCTCCCATTGATAATCTTGTGATGTTGCATTTTTAGTTTGCTGTCCTTTCAGAACTGATTTCTTTTCCCCGTGAGGTGATTGAAGACACACAAATATCCTACACATATTGAAATCAACGTCAATCAGGTGCATTGTCCCAGCCTAATTCTTGCCACAGCTTAGGAAGTGCTCCCCTAGGAGGGAACATGCTGGTGAAGGTGATTTCCAAAGCCAGCAAAAAGAGGCAAACCTTTGCGGGTTTCCACCTGCTGGCAAAAGCTCTCTCACAGAGATAGTACATAGCCCCTGCCACCCCACACATGGCTGCTTCAACGGGATGAGAGCTGAGCAGAGAAGCTGTTTGCATAGTTGAAAAAAGTGGTCTGAAAGTCATCCTTGGAAATAAACTGGTTATCCTAGGAACCTGAACAATAGATAGGAAGCAAAGAAGCGAATGCTGTGTATAAACGAAACCATTAGCTTTGGTCCTCTGGGTCATGAAAAATAATAATGATAATTATAATAATAATAATAATTTAAAAAGCAAACAGACTACAAAGGCATTCATATGTACATCTCGGGACAATAGCTTCATCTCGCTGATTAAGCACTGAGTTAGTTCACTACAGTGAGCACACCACGAGGCTGACCCCCTGAAAAATCACTGAGCCGCCCTGCCTTTCCATGTAGGGTGACACACCAGAAGGACTATGTTTGGCGCCTTTCCAAGGCTGTTTCCCCTCCCCACCTACTTAGGTCTAACTCCCTCTGTCTGATGAGATGCCAGTTCACAAAACCGTTGTTAGTATGCAAGACAGACCAGTTTCTTGCTAATCCTGCTAAGACACTGTTGCAAACTCCTGCTTCTTTTCACTGGCATCGAGGGCTATTTATTGACGAGGCCTCTTTCACCTTGGAGAGAAACTGCGGTCACAGGAGCAGGTGATAAGAAATGAAACTCCATCAATCCTGGAGGAAGGGATGAAGAAGTGTGAAGTCAAATGAAAAGTAAATAATAGTCTGCACTTATTGAGAAGCGTTCGCTCCAGGAACAGCAAAGTTCCATATGCAGCACCTGGCACAGCCACTGTGCTGTGGTGGAAGCAAAGACTTGCAGTAAGCCAAAGCGTGGAACTGGGCCAGGGCCAGCATATCAGAAATCATCCACCAAAACTAAAAACAAAAGTATTGTGGCAGTTGTCTGTCACACTCTAGATGGCACTATTGCCAAGTTAAAGAATAAGCTCTCTAGGCACCAAATAAAACAAGTGCTTATTAATGGAACATCATTTCACTACTGATTTTCCTTCTTTCCTCACTTCATAGCCAAAACCAAGCTAGGTGACAGTTCTCTAAAGATTAAAAAACAAAAAAATAAAACCCCAAGCAAAAAAGAAACTAGTAAAACCTTTCCCATGTATTCTCATGTTAGCCTGACTTATCTAATGGCTTTTTCCTCCCTTTTCCTTTAGTGGGGCAGTGCAACAATTGAATTAGTTTTTCTGCAGTGGTTTTATTTTGTACATATTTTTCTAGGCATAAGCCAGTGAACAAACTGACAGAGGGAAAATATGTATGTGGTCAAAAAGGTCTTGTTAAGAACTTGGTTGACTTATTTAAAATAATGGCATCATATATAGGATTTTTAAGTTGCATGATGCCCTCAAATACACGAGATCAATATCACAACGCAACATATTTAGATACACTAAAAGTGCAATGGAGCAAATGCCTCAGCGTAACATATAATGCTTTCTCCTCTCCTCCCTTTAGAAAAACGTATCTGCAAATGACTCTGGGCCTATCAGAAAATAAAGCCTGTGCTTCCACACCTAGTGAGCGCAGCAGGCGATGACAAGGCAATCCATTTTATACGAGACTGACTTCCAACGCATGCTGAAGGAACCCTCCAGCTTGGTTCTGGTGCAATACATTCTGCTCCAAGTTCACTTTGGCAGGAGAAGTCTACTTGTGTTGTGCGTTTATTAACATGCTACTACCCAACCTTCACCTGGAATGAAAAACTACACTCTACTTGGAAGGATATAATAAACAAAATCCAGTAGACCCTCTGAAAAGAAGAGGAGGAAGCACGTTGTGGGAATATTTGGAGATTATTTTCTTGTTAGTATTCAACTTCACCATTTAATAGGTTTGGATCCCATCCACCATCCCTTGGGACAACAAAAACACTCTTCAAAGCCCTTTAACACCACTGCACTACAAGACGGGGCAAGTGAATATTCCCTTCCTTTCAAAACTAGGATGTGTTTATCGATTTCTCTATTCACCAGCACCTCATGGGGCGTACTTCGAAACCCTGCTGGTAGGAAAAAAGACAAGGAACATATCCTGCATGAAATTACAAAGCACTAATCAGTATGTCAGCATAAACGAACCAGGATTTCATACCCTTTTGCTGTTTATACTCTGTTGGAAAACAGCTCTCAATTAAAGCTAATTGATCAAATGTACTGTGCCTTCTTTTCAAGCAGTAATACAGGTTTTTGCCTCAGTAACTTCAATAAAGCAACACAGGCAAACCTTGATTCGGATGACTGAAAAAGCTTTCATATGTATAAACATTACCACAGAAGTTCTTAAGGTAGGAAGAAAAGCAATCATTCCATTCATTCAGCCATTAACTAAAATACCTCCAACAACTAAAAAATTCTCCCCAAAACCCAAAATAGATCCACTGCTTTGGAGTTCTCTCTATTCAAATTGAAAATCAGTAAGGTGAAGTTCTCTGTTTTGGTGACATTCTGAAATAAAATCAAGACACGTGGCTTTACCCAGAGTCCTAATCAAAGTGCAAATGTTTTCTGAGGCACCTGTACCTGGGATTTTGGATAAATATGCTAGAGAGACAAAGTTCAAATCTTGATTTCAAAATGTCTTTAGTAGCCAAGCGCTGTTTCTGAATTGAGGAGTTTTCTTTGAGTCAAGTTCTAATCGCACTGAAGCCAAGTTTTAATTTTCATTATACTCTTAGCATGCCTCTTTTTCTCTCTCCTACCACCCACTCCACTTACAAGTGATCTGGAGCTCTGCTTTGAAGGTGGTAGGAACTGTCTCACATTGGTTGGTGTCTCCTTTTCAATGGAGTGTCGTCTCTGAGGTGGCTGCCGTCTCTCAGGCTGTGGTGTGGATGATATGGGCAAGAACTTTGGAGGTGCTAAAGATTCAATCAGTATAAAAAAATTAGTTCCGGTGAGACAGACTGTAGGATAACATTGCTTAGTACCTAAACCAGCCACCGATTTGATAGAATCCCCACTATTGGTGGCTGAAGTTACACATCCATACTCAGAGCATCTTCAAGACAGGTATCACGTTCACCACATTTTCCAGATTGAGAGAAGAGGAATACTCATAAAGCTAGCAAATACAGCCATGCTACTGTACACTTACCACTGTATATAAATTCGGTGTTTCAGGGTATTGGCTTATTCTACTTATTTCACCGTCATGCACAGAAAACACGTGCACAGATTGCATGTTTCATTACAAACCCTTTCCAGTGAAACTGAAACACTTTGAGATAAACAGAAAATATTGTTACACAGTAAAGCCTACAATAACTGTGCCTGAAAAAAAAGAACTGACCCTCCCCTCTTCCGAGTACTTATGAGAAATACTGGTGATTGCTATGTGTCTTTCAAACAAGTACATTCACTGTCATGTTGACAGAGTTGCAGGAAACATTTAAATTGGTCTTAGGTTAGAATGTGTTTCTGCAGCAACAAATTCTTTTATGAGATGAGCATAGCTAAACTACCCCCTGTTCACTTGTGACTTCCTCTACAGTTCCACATCAACTTCAAGCAGGAAACCTGTTTCACACAGATATCCACATATAGTGGAGACTAATACCTCCCAATCATTAATCACATTTAACCTATTCAGCAGGTTCTAGGGTTCGGCTTTAGAGATTTATTCCATGAACAACAGTCAGCCTCAGCTTTCTATAGAGGTTTCAGACAAAGTGCATACAACAGAAGACAACAGAAGTTTGTAAAAGCTGCCAATGGGCTCTCTCATCAAAACTCACTCTTTCTGCTGCTGGTGCCTTCTTGAGAGGGATCTTCCACTTGTGAGGGGGAGATGCTGCTGCTACTTGCTGATTTGGGCACCGATTCCTCCTGTGTGGCAAGAGGAAAAGAAGCAGAATTCCTCAGGGATTGTTTCTTCTTCTCTTACTGCTTCTTAGCACACAGAAATCACAAACTATCAAAGGTATTTTGCACCATTCAATCACTTGAAGGCCTAGAAGTCCCGAGAAAAACATTGACTCTACACAGCACTGAGTAAATGGAATTGCCAACGCTCAGTTTTTTCAGAAACTGGAATAAATGGTGCATGGTTGGAATTCAGTGTATTTAACTATCGCATGAAAGATCAAGACCAGAAGAGAGGTGCATGAATCCACTGTAACCTGTCAATTTTCCTCATTGTATGTAAGGACTTCTAAGGATTTGCAGCTATAGCAGATATGTTAACTCAACTCTGTATCTCACACTAGCAAGGAGTCAGCACTTGGATTTCTGGTCTCCAAAGGAATGACAGCCACTCATACAAGTGACTCAGGTAAAGAGAAGTTAATCTGATCTCCACTGCACTGTTCTCTAATCCCTAATCCTCATGCGTTTCCCCTTTCTTCTGTATTTAAAAGAAATCTCATTCATTATATAAGCATGTTTCATCACAACAGCCAAAAGCAATTCCTGCAAGATGAATGAAAGTGAAACAGGCTTTGACTAACACCTTTCAGCTATCATGCCACCCAATTAAACCCTTTGCTTTCACCTAATACTTTCGTCTTCAGCCACCAGATACCAGCAAGATACAGATTATCACAGGAGCCTCCCAAAGGAACAGAGTTGAAGGACTGAGTGTGAACGCTCTTTAGCTCTAATGTGAGTGCTTTTAACCAAGGAGACTTACATCACTTCAGTTGTCAAGATTTACAGATCAAACAAGTCACCTGCTCCAAAATCCAGCAAGTGGCTGAGCTTCCCTCCCACAGATTTCCTTAGTTATGTGAATCGCGAGCAGTGGCCGAAAGATTGCCTTCTTTGGTAACAGCCAGACAGAACAGAAAAGCTGGCAGGATCACCTCAATGAGCACCATGCATCACAGGACAGAGGCCTCTAGAAATTCTCATCAGGTGATCTGTGCTTCACGCTCAGCCCGAGGGTATGTGCTGTATGTCAGGACACCGTGATGTACACTGCTCCCGCGTATAGGCCACAACACAGTATTCTGCAAAGGGACTCAAACCAGCTCAGATCCCAACCCAATATATTCACTTTAACGCATCAAGTGCGTGACCCCACAAAACAGTTGTGATGGGAAGCTTGTAGGGAAGTTTGAGCAGCACATTTAGCTACACCAGCTGTTTTACTTCCAGAAACTAGTACAGTTTAGCTACACAGCTGGCTCAGGCAGCTTTGCATATCACTGCTTCATGCCACATGGTTGCCTTAAAAGACCACTGGAGAACTTGCAAGACAATTGGACGCACCGTTCTTTAGAAGGGGTGCAACAGTGTCACAAGTCTAGAGTTAAACATTTACATTTTGTGAAGGAGAATAACCCCTGTACAAAGGGAACTACTAAACTTTTCACTTTGTAGAAGTCAAATTCTTCTGAGTGGAAGATTACTTTCCTGTTGCCAGAGAAGCTAACAAGCTAAGATGAAGAACTAAGTAACTGTCAATTAAAAAACCATGCTTTTCTGTTGGTTTTTTTTTTGGTTCTCCTTTTTCTTCCATTTTTCCTGTGTCTGAAACACTCGCACAGAAAGAAGAGAGAGAAAACAAGGTGCACAACTGAAAATATCGAATGCCTATATATATATTTTAATGTAAAACTGTAAAATAGGGATTACAGAAACATTTCACATGTCCATCTAATTTTGCTAATTGCCACTTTCAATGGAAAGAAATAGCTACTGACCTCTTCTGAATGTGAGACAGACATGACGTCTCACTCACATGTTGCAAAACTAGGCAGAACACAGATGTTTCCATCTTGTTCCCACTTTTGTGAAATATTTCTAGTTACTTCATTAGTAATGAATTCCAGTAGCCTAGGAGTCTTGAAAAAACAAGAGTGAAAGAAATGGACAAAAATAGAAAGTAAGGGGCTTCTCTGTGGTGAAGACCTACAAGAAAGATTCCAGGAGCCATACTTTCTATTCCAAAGAATGAGAGGGAATGAACTAAGTATGAAAAATAGTAAGTATAAACAACCAACCCAGGGAGAATGGAAGCCAGGAGTATGTTAAATTTGACATATCATCCTACTTAGACAACAGGTACCCCTGGTTTGTCATTTCAAATGACTTCTTCTGTGCACAAACACAGGCACTGAGAATACTATTACTGCCCTACAATTTCTCAAACATGGAAGGCTTTTTTGACAACGAAATTTTGTGTAGGAAGTACTCATAAGCCATCTTATGAATTTCTTCATATCAATACAGTAACTGTTGACTACTACAGGAGACTATCTGACATTTTACATTTGAGGTTGGATCAACCCAACATCCAGGACTGCGCACTTTTTCACAGAGCACTAAAAAATTAGAATTTTACATGTACTGAAAAAGCTGCAGCTTCAAAGGCATCACCTTAAAACATCTGAATACGTTACTGACGTGATTTTTGTCTGGGTAGCTGTAGCTTCACTAGGAAGACACCATTTTTATATCTGTATCAAAAATCACTATTAGATTGCTACTTCTTTTAGCCACACAAAGCAAAATGGCACTTCCTGCACCCCCTCTGAACTGTGATTCTATTGGTGATGCAGAAAACGCAAGTGCAGAAAGCAGGAACGGTTTGTACAAAATTCATCCTCACTAGCAAATGGGCATAGGGCTGTATCAGACCTTCCCTTTCACCTCTGGCTGGCAACGCTGACTGTCAGGGCGTGGGCTGCATCACAACACAGCTGAGAGAAGAACAAAGGGGATGCAGGGGGAAGAAAATGCATCTGCATCACAGCTCATTTGGAGGTCCACAGCTCAGCAGTGCAGGTATTTGCAGCCTGTAATTTAGGGCATAACATAGTCATAATTTAACTCCCAGTGAGTAACTCCAAATAGGTTAAGCCCAATTCAAATTGCAGGCAAAGAGGTGGATGAGTCATTTATAGGCAATGACAACACATATGCTCTTCTGTGTGTTACAAAGTAGAAGTCAGGAAAGAAGTAAGACATTTTGACAGAGCAATCTTCACTTCCTTCAAATGTCCTATGTCCCACCCCTTTCCTCAGCTCAGAAAATTTCACCTAAACTCCCTTCAGTTTGTTTATTTACACTACTTCAGCACTGTTCCTGAACCCCAACTAGTATTCTGCTGAACATCTTAACTGATTCACCAGCTACTTCTGTTGACTTAAACCAGCACAGCACCTGTTCTCTGTGACCGCTTGATGTGGCTGATTTATTTTCAATTTATCTTTTGCTGTATGTTCTGGAGCTTTTTCTATAGGACTTTGCTTGCCTACACAGTATTCCCTAATCAATAGTCACTGTCAGACATCTTATTTTTCCCTCTGACAAGAATCACTTCACGTTTCCCTTTACAGAATTTTCTTTTACTGACTTCTGCTCATTTTTCCATGTCAAATATCATGCTGCATTAGCTTCAGGATGCTACAAGCTGGGAAGCTGTAAGTTCGAGATCCAACTCTCACTGACAGGCCTTAATATTCCTGCATTCTGCCCAGCTTCATTCATATTAAAAAAACCTCATACAGCCTCTATTGTAATTTTAAAGACTGCTGAGAGATTTCAGAATGCAAATCTCTTCTGCTTTCAGAACAGATGCACCAAATTACGCACCCACACAAATCACCCACAGGATAACCCCTAATACAAAGAGGGCCAACCTTTCACAGATCAAGAAAGTATGCAAAGAGATAAACTTCTCCACACATATATTTCTTCCCAGCTTCCTATCTTTCACCTTAGATGCCTTTATAAGCGCCCTGTCAGGAAACTCCACCTTCCCCATTTACTAGGGAGAAAGCAAGTCAGGGAAGACTGCTTTTGCCAGGCTAAAATTAGCCCCTGTGAATAAACCCTGCCTGCATGTGCTTTCCAGGCAGCTTAACTTTCAGAAAGGTCCAAACTCAACTAATAATACTGCTGGTCCAGAACACCAGCTCATTCTTCAGGATGTAACGCTGGTACTTCTTGATCAGCTTTTAAGCTAGAAAGCTTTTTTAAGTTTTTCTCCTTTTTTAAATCTTTAACTCTCTATTTGAGAGAGGATGGATGCAAAGTTGTTTCTCTAAGCAGTATTTCCTTGGCCCTATCTATGAAAGATTTGCTGGATGTTACTTCCCAAGCCTATACAGCAAACTATTGCACTGACATTTGCACCAAACTGCAACTCCTCTGGCACAGGAGTTTGCTCTTTATTTACCAGGCTGGACTCACATCTGAGTCCTTTAGTAGCAGCTCCTGCACGGGTGCCAGAAGGGTGCAACACATTCGCCTGCATTCCCAAAAGTGTAATCGCTACATATACACTGTGGACACATACTGGGCGTTTAGAAAAGTAAGGAAATACTGGGTTTAAGGCCAATATTAGCATTTAATCTTTTAAAAGAATACTCTCTTTTTTTGAGGTCTGATCTAATATTTTTGAAGTTCTGTGGGCTGACAAAGCAGTCATGGCAAATTCAGATGATAATCTGCAAAGTCACTTCTCAGCTGATCATTTCAGCAAATTAAGGAGTAAGATTTAATTCTGACAAATCAAGAAGCTAGTTGTGTCCTTGACTTTTTACCTCTGAATCTGAGCTGTCAAGTTCAGCCAACGTGGGAGCCTTAAGGAGTCTCTTGCGTTGTACTGTCACTTGTGTGGCCCCATTCTGCTTTCCTTGTGGTGCCGGGCCACCATTCACTACAGAGGCATCCACTAACTTTCTTCCAGCTTCTGGCGTAGATACATCTAGCAAAAGAAACAGAACAATTGGTGTTTGGTCTTAATTTTTATTTTGCCTTCTCAAATCTTACTGTCAAGGCAATACACACAAAAGGAAAAAAAAAAATTATTGTGATAGTTGTATGTGTGCAATTATTTCACTTTAGCAATACACTGCTCCGAGAACTACAGGCAATAGCTTGTGGTACAGAAGCAATATGAAGGAATAAAAGCAGCGGAAAAAGCAGCAGTGCACAATACTAAAAACCAACCTCAGACCAACAGCAATCAACTTTAGAAAAAAATATCCTGTGCTAAACCCGAAAAAATTCTTCCTTCAACTTACAGTCTATAATCAACTACATAACAAGTACCAGAAGAATGCACAACCGTATCTGGACAAGTGAGTTTCCAGTGAATCTGAAGGCCACGCCACACAAATCACTAGGTTTAGCACAGAGTAAACCTAGTTTTTCCTGTGAGGACAGAATTACCCTTTATTCTGCAGTACACAGAAAAGGAACAAAAATGAGCTAAATAACTAGTATTCATCAAAAATACGCACAATTGTTAGGTTTTCATGGTCATTTGTATTAAAAATATGTCTGTGATGTCAAATCTTCATGTAACAGCAGAAACATGAGGCTCCAGCTCTATTTCCATCTACGTGAGTTTTACAAGGATGTAACTCCACTGAGTAAATTACTCGGGATTTCTGCCAGCATGCAATGAAGATGCATCTCGGATAACGTAAGCACTGGGTCTGCTGTGCTCAGCCTAGCTTAGCTTAGACATTAAGATAATGACCTAGGCTTTGATATTTTAGGAGAGCTTAGAGTTTGGTCTGATAAGTCAGTTTTGTTCCTGTAAAAGTGCAGTATTCCAATCTGAAGAAAATTGTATCTGAGGGAGTAGGAAGAGAAGCTTTTAATCTCCCATTTGCGTGTATGCCCAAGCATCTGGTCTTTCTGCAAATGTGTTTTTCTACCCAGGTAATTACAGGACTCCTTCCCCAGTCTTGCAATAACAAAGTACCTCCAGGTATGTTACGGCTAGGGTAATGACAAGTTATTATTCCCATTTTTATAGATGGTGAAAAGGGGCACAGAAGGTCAAATGACTCGTACCTTAGGTTACCGGGAGGACTGTGACAGAGAAATGATTATCACCTACATAATCCCAGTGCCCACAATGTAAGTACTCACACATCATTTGGAGTTACTTACATAGTTGCCCTGGTATAAACAGACAAGGTCACTGCTCCTACAACACAATTTGCATTGATAAAAGCCGTTCTTGCACTAGGTAAATTAAAACAGCACAGTCTAGACAAAGCCTCAGTTGCAGTAGTAGGTCTATTTTACAACTTTCTCACTGGAGCAGCTATTGAAAAAGAGTAAGAGGAGGAATAAGTTAAATCAATATATATTTTTAAGAATTATTAGGTTACTGTTAAATGTATTACAGCTCCTCTATAAGTCATACCTTCAATTGAGAGTACAAGAAAAGGCGATTATTTGGACTATTAAAGTCATGGTGGCATTCCAAGCCTATGAATCTGTGTAGTACAGTGTTATTACTGCCTTCAGGTCCTCCCTACAAAGAGTTGCAATCAAGGACAGCCTCTCTAACCCTTAGTTCCTATCTTCAAAGGCTTTGCTAATGGGTGTCCTGACTAGCACTATGGCTTATGGGTCATGCTTTTCTTCCCTCCTAGATTTTTGCGAGTACAACATAGGCGTCCTCCACATCAAATGCATTCCTCGCTCAGCACAACCCCAGAAAGGGACAGCAGGAAAACAAACCCCAACTGCCTCACCTCCCTGCTGCCAGTACCACTTTGTGAGACCTCATAATTAGCTGGCATGTAGTTGATTGAAGAAGCTTAGGGTTTCCCAAGCGAGCAAGAGAAAAACCTTTGATTTGTCTTTTGATTGCACAGCGTGGTTCCTGACCAGACTGTCCAATGAAGCAGCCCCAGCACCACAAAACAACAGCCAAAGGTGCTGTCCCTTCTCCTAAACACTTCCTGGGTGGTGCCTCCCCTGCCTGATGGTAGGGAGGGTGAAGAATGGCCTGTAAGTACTGTTGGACTTACTAGGAGACTAAATGATGGGAAGGCCAATAGTATTGCCCTCCTTCCAAAAAAATAAAACACACAATAGGTCTGGGGAAAGGGAAAGCGGAGGGAACGTCCACCAGACGTCCCCTAGCTCTATGGCAGGTGATGGAACGGATATCCAGGGTACATCATAAGTTGTTTTCTGTTGGTTTTTGTTGTTGCTTTTGTTTGTTTTGGGGTTCTTTGTTTTGTTGTTAAGAATTTAGGCCAAATTTCTTTAGGCCCCAGAAACGGAAATCTCTGATCCATTCTGGAGGTAATTTATGTAGCCAATCGCTATCTACAAAGCCTAAACCCATTGTTATTTAAATTCATACATGTGTGAGTTGTTCATATGCTGGTTTATAAGTCTTCTTGAAATACCAGAGAAGTTTCAGGTGAATTGAGAAGACAATCCAACATAGTACTTGTTTTGAAGGGCTCTTCAATAGGAAATGACATTTATC